CAAAACATCATCATTAGCACGTACAAGTTAAAACAATAATCATAAACACATTACACACAGATTCAGAAAGCCAAGTTTTTTCCAAACTTGTCCCTCCCAATAAAAAACACTCTCCTTCCATCTATGAAAAATACCCTCCCAAACAAAAACCCTTCCAATCTCTACAGACAGATTAATCCACACAGACAGCTTTATCCATACAGGACTTCATGGAAAACCAATCAAACAGCCACTTAATCACATATGATTATGCATGTCCAAATGGGACGTGGGCAACTTGGTGAATGCAACCAAAGGTCGCCCGCTATAGGCTTGTCGAGACAACATGTTTTTTATCATATATAATTAAGTGTTCGAACCGCATGTAATCATGTCTGATCTTCAAACTTCTCACCTTCTCACAAATTGACCGCCTTCTCGTTTGAACCTGACCCAATATAAGATTAGTTAAATAAACAACTTACTTAACAAGGACCATACTTCATTATGAATAAACTAACTAGAAAATGTGTTGTTAATATTCCAAACTTACTCTTATCTTTTAATATTAAATAAAAAAATCTAGTTGTTAGTGTATATTCTATCGAGCGTAATATTGTCAAAAATTGTCACTAGACTTGCTTCTAGATTTTAGAGTGGACTCTTTTAGGGACACTGAGAGTATTACTCAACATGAGTATAAACTAGCTTAAAAGTAAAGGGATAATGATATGCATGGGCCATTACCAGATGGTAAGCGCTTACTGGCAAGAGTCATCACCCTTGCTTACCTTGTTGGGTAACATTCTCGACCATCAAAACGTATTGTTGGTAAATGTCGTTGATCCAGTGAGCGCTTACTTACTGGGTAAAGAGTCTTCTCCCTCACTTACTGGGTAAGATTCTCAGTACTTGCAATGCTCACCCGGTAAGTACGTGACACCCAGTAGGCACTGACCTGGTAAGCATTTGATAAACGGCTCCTCAGTCTTACTCATAATACAAGCGGAAAAGGACTGGCTCTCACAAATGACGATTCTGTCCAAAAGAAGAAAAATGTCAAAATCATAAGATGATTAATTGACTGCTTTATCTATATACGGTTTCATCTAAGAGCTTTATTTCTTGATTTCTTGTAGATTTGAACTTTAAAATCACATGTAACAGTTACATGATAAAAAATCTACACTAAAATCAGTAAGGGGGATTCTAAAAGAAATATGTAGGAAGCAGTTTCAATAATCTATTAATCACAAACTCCTTCTGTCTCAAAATAAGTGTCCATTCTTAAAAAGTATTTAGTTGCGATAAGGAACATGCTATGGACTAAGGCGAAGGAACATCCAAACAAGAAATATGACCCTATTTCTATTTTAGTTTGTACCAAAATACGTGTCCACTTTCTAAAGTAAGTGTTACTTTCCAATTCTACCTTTAATTATGAGATGGAGAAATTCATCCCTCCCTCTATTATTGAGGGTAAAATTGTTATTTATTTAATTAAAAAGCGAAATAATTACGCATTTCTATAATTGTATGCCTTTTCCACTGTGGACATTTATTTTGGGACAGAGGGAGCAGTTGTTAGAAGTCAAAGGGTGACCAAGTTGGCAAAACGCCATAACTCGAGCCCCTAGGTGCTATCACCTCTTGTTGGTCATGCCATTTCACACACACACACACACACATATACAAAACTCGAGCCTCTAGGTGCTATCACCTCTTGTTGGTCATGCCATTTCACACACACACACACACACATATACAAAACTCGAGCCTCTAGGTGCTATCACCTCTTGTTGGTCATGCCATTTCCAACACATGCACATATATATGTAGGGGCCTTCATTTTAGAACCCACAAAATTGTGATAACCTTGACAATGAGTGCATCATGTGCTATTTCACATGATGTTTTTCCATCTACAACTTGGATTTAGTGTAATGATTAACATATATTTGTTTTACAATGTGAACATTTTTTGTGTTGGTGAAACAAAAGAATACAACTAAAAAGTTTCACATTGTGAACCGAATACATATGAAACAAGCACATTGTGAAACAAATATATGTTAATCAATATATTAAATTATAGCCTTAGAAAAGAAACATGTGAAACAATAACTTACGATAATAGTTCTTACAAGTATCGCAATATATGGGGTTCTTAAATGATTAAGCCCCTATGTATGCACACACACACACAAATATATATATATATATATATATATATATGTTCCCTAATAGCTAGTTAGCAACACAAGAAGTGTGGATACTATAGTTGGGCTACTAGAAGGGTTTGACCCTTTTTTCTGTTTAGAATACAGGGCTTCAAATACTTCTAGGTCTGAAAATGGCAAAAAGAATGGGGCAAAATGCAACAAAGACAGGTTTAGTTTCAATTAAATGCAACAAAGAACATTTTCTTTTATCGATCAATGAAACGAAGATCCAAAATTTCCTAGTTTGTACCCACCTGCTAATCTTGTAAGATCCTGATGACAATGATGCCCATTTACCAAAAGGTTACGGCCAAGTTATCAATAAACTTGATATCTACGTCATTCAATGTTACAAGGTTAGCAGGAATGCAATCAGAATGCAATCAAAATGGATAAAAAAATAGGAAATTTTGAAACAATGTTACATTGATTGAGAAGAAAAAAAAAAATTTGTTACACTAAGGGCTATTTGGTTGGTTTTCCATCAAGTCTTGTACAGATAAAGTTGTCTAGGTGGATTAATCTGTCTGTATAGAATGTGAAGGTTTTTGTTTGGGAGGGTTTTTTTCCATAGATGGAAGGAGCATGTTTTTTAATTGAGAGGACAGGTTTGGAAAAAACTTGGCTTTCGACATAAAGTTCCCCCTAGAAGCTTACTGAATAAGCCATTTTCTATATGATTAAGCCACTACCAAACAGTCATGTATAGCCGAGTGAATAAGCTTTGAGTCCCATTAAGCTCATTAAGTTGCCAACGAGCAGGGCCTAAATAGGAACTAAGGCAAACTTTGTAGCATTATGCCCAAAAGAATCCTGCCATCTATATATGCACTTATTGCCACCGGAAGATTTGCCTTAGGGCTATGGGCGAAGACTACAGTCGTGACTTGCCATGAGATTAGTCTGGGCGAAGCCTGGGATCACCCATATCCAAAAAGAATAATGGTAATTTTTCAGCACTCCAAATATTAGAATCTCGACATTTCATTTTCTACTACCCTAATCTTCTATATATTTTCTTATCGATTTCTATTCATACATACATATAGGGAGGTTCAAACAAGAACACAGTCAACGTAATAGAACACGAGCACACCTACATCACATGTGATCTTACAGTACAATCACATGTGATTAAGGAAATGGGTTAAACCACCCAGGTCACAGGGCTGAATCGCATGCGCACCCTCGTCGAACGTGTTTTAGATGTAATTTATTGTAAAATCACATGTGATATAGGTGTTCTCGTGTTTTCTTACTTTGACCTTATTCTCATTTAAACCCAACTCTACATACATATTACTACATCTAATACATGATTTACATGTGAAGTGGACCTCTAAAAGAGAAAACATTTAATGGAATTGATTGTCAATCATCAGACTTGACTACCCTTTTCATTATAAATCATTTCCGGGGCTCGAACTCATGACCTTTCGGTCATAAAGGAGTAACTTTAACCGGTTGCTCCAAGCCTCGCCTCTAAGTCACTGTGGTTAAACAATTCAAAAAATGATTGAGGACGTAACAAAAAATAGTCGGTTGTTTGAAAACCCATTTAATGAATCATTGTATGAAGTTAACCGTTACCTCCTCCGTCCTAAAATAAATTCCCACGATAAAAAAAAACAAGTTTTTTAAATGGCAATGTTACCCTTAATAACAGAGGAATAATGATTTCTCCATCTCATAGTTAGAGGTAGGATTGGAGAGTAGGCACTTACTTTTGAAACTGGACACTTATTTTGGGACAAACTAAAATAGAAATATGGACCCTTATTTTGTGACGGAGGGAGTCCATGAGAAGACGAGAATCTTCTATTTCTTGCTACTAATAGCCATAGAACAAGATCTTATAAAAAAAGCTTCATCAACAAACAAATTCTTGATTATTTTCTTGAACTTATTTCCTTGATGCTTATCAAGACCGAAACTTTACTATTCTATCAAGCCATTTAAATTTCATCTCACGGGCCCTATTATATGGTGGGAGAAGCAATAAAGATCCGATAGCAGATTAGTGGGTCCCGTTTACTTAATGAAGTTGGGACCACAAGAATGAAGAAAAATGGTAGATAACGTGAAAAACAAACAAGAAATCATGAAAGTAACAGTGGACAAACTATGAACGAGCGTTTGACCAGAAAGACGCACCGTTCAACAGCAGGTTGACCTCATTGACTCTCTGGCATGATTCCAGACGTAAAGGTATCGGCTCTAATTTCATGTTCTGCAAAACGACACCATAATTAACACATACAAGTTAAAACAATGATCGTGAACACACAGAGACGCAGACGTACCTTAAACCTTGATGGCACGTTTAAATTCTTGAAAACGTCTACTTTTATGAACATATTACTGCAAAATACGCAAAACTAAAAACAAGATAACAGATTATAAATTCAACTTACTCCTTAACAACCAACAAACCGTTCGCATCTTCTTTGAACCCTCCTCAAAACAACAGAAGCAGAAACGTTATAGAAGTAAATATGGAAAAGAACTACAGAAAGATAAAGGAGGATCATGCGAGAAGGAGAGAAGTTCCAAGATCACACATGATTACATACGATACGAACACTCAGGACATGTTTGTTAGCAGCTTAATGAGCTTAATGGGACTCATAACTTATTTGGTAAGCTATAAATGATGTCTAGTAGTGGCTTAATGATATATAAAGTGGCTCATTCAATAAGCTTCTAAGCGGAGCTTTATGTAGAAAGCCAAAAAAAATTCCAAGCATGCCCCTCCCAATAAAAAACACGCTTCCATCTATGCAGAAACCCTCCCAAACAAAAATGTTTCCAATCTCTACAGACCAACAGCTTTATCCATACAGGACATAATGGAAAACCAACCAAGCCACTTAATCATATATGATTAAACACGTCCAAAAGGGACGTGGGGGACTTGGTGAACGCAACCAAAAATACCTGCTATAGGCTGGTCGATACAACATGTGTTTTATCATATATGATAAAAGGGTCCGTGTCACATGCAATCATGTGTGATCTTGAAACTTCTCGGCTTCTCGCAAATTGACTGTCTCCTCGTTTGAACCTGACCCAGTATAAGATTAGTTAAATAAATAACTTACTTTGATGAGGACCATGCTTCATTATGAATAAACTAATTAGAAAATGTGTCGTTAATATTCGATATTTCAATCAATGCCTAATGTTGAAAATACATACACAATAAAACCTTAGATATATGCCAGATTCTCAACTTTTTTAATCAAGTACCGAGCTACACATATTATTCCTGCAAAACTTTTCTAAATTATCTCATCAACTAAATTACAGAAGAAGCGGAAAATATGCACTGGAAACATGCTAATCATACAACAAGGCAACCGTTTGTTTTTTTCCAATTTGTAAAACAGTTTCTTGGTTGGTTGCTCACAAATGTGGCGTTTCCTATAGCGGAAAGGGCCCTTTTGACCTTGAATCTTGATCATCTTGCACTAGACGGCTTTCACTAAAAGGCCATAAACCAGCCGAGACCCGAGAGTTGATGTAGAATAATCAACCATTTTAACAATCCATTAAACACCAAGAGCCCAATGCAGATAAAGAAAACTTTGGTTCCAACAATGATTTTATTCCTCAAAGGCATGTGTACATATCTTCTCCAAAAGTATCGGCCAGTCTTCCCCAAGCTTTTTATGGTTAAGCTCCATAGCGACCCTAAAGTCTAGCAAAGTTACTAGCTGTTTGGGTTCATTTTCTTGCATTGCATTCAAAGGCCAACTGCTGTTTTGTATTTGATGATGGCTTATGACACCATTTAAGGGTCTCGAATGAGTCGGGTTCTTGATGGAACCGCTTTTTGTTAGCTCGTGGACGGACCTAGCCCTATTTAGTTCCATGCAAGAACCAATCAAACCCTTTAAATAACCATCTAATCCACTGTTGACCACATTGGCACAATCCATCGACACCCCTTGAAGACCCTGTGCTCCACAAATCTGCTCCATGTGGTCCTTTAATGTCGTTGTTTCTAATAAACCATCGGAGTGCAACACACCGACACATCTACTACTACTACTTGCCGCCAACGGTATTGCGCTGTAGGCCCCACCTATACTTACCGGGCAATACGGAACCCCAAGCGGAGCATGTAGCGAAATCCTATCAGATACACTTTTCCCATCTTTTTTTCTACCTAAAGATTCGGTCTTTTCTTTATGATGCACACCAACGAAACCGTCTGGTGATCCGCCACCATTTTCCGCTTCTTGAATGAGTTCTTGTTGATGAACTGCCCTTCGAGTATCGGAGGAAGATGAATCCCCATTCTCCAAAGAACTAAAATCAGCCGATTGTGGGATAGATGACGTCAAAGAACCATAATTTGTCTTCCCATTCGGCCCGAGAGCACTTCTGCGGTCCCCACCTCTTCGCTCACGGGATCCAGTCCTGGCCTTTCGTGGCGATGGAGGCAGAATATCGCCATTGCCCAAAGACAGCGGGCTTGTGACGTGGGTCACAACCGGAATGGACCCATTTTGATGGTAAACTCCATCTGAAGGTTTCTTATTTCCAACCGTTCTTGAAGAATCATCATGGATCACAATCGGAAGTTTCCCTGTACACGCACTCTTTAAAACTGCACGAATTAACTGATTGTGCAATCGGATGTTATCTTTCCCAACGGTCCTTAAACAAAGCTTATCGAACTCAGTTTTGCTCAACTTCAAACTCAAAAATCGGTTCAAATAATCAAGATACTGCTTGGATCGCTCGAATCCAAGCTTCTTGATTAATTGACCTTTTATTTCAGCAAGATTGTTCCATGAATGCTGCTGCGGTGGTTGCATTTCTCAACACAAAAATTCCATAAAACAATCAAACAACTATCAGTTTCTAACTTCAAGAAACAAAATCCCCAAAATTCCCCTAATTTTTTCACCAACTAAATTAGGGTTTTACTCCATCTACAAAATCCCATCTTCCAAAACAAACTTGATCCATTCAACAACAAGCCATACAATGAATAACGAAAACACATCATGTAAAAAAAACCAACCTTGAAATCAGATTAGAACTACAGTTCCCAACTAACTCTCCCTCCAAAACCGAAATCCCAAATTATTCAAATTCCAACTCCAAAATACATAATCCCTAACCATAATCACATCTACACAAAGCAAAAACCCTAAATTTTGACGTTACCTCCCTCCAATTCCAAGTAAACCCGCAAATCACTTTATTAAACAGCTTCCAATTTCGTTCAATCTTTCAAATTCCCAAATTAGAACTCGAAATGCGACGAATTAATCAAGAGATTGTGAACTTCGCAAAGTTCCCAGCATCAATTTCAAAATGCCCATACGGAATTGGGATTCAAAACGATGAGAGATTGAAGAGATGTAAACATCCGAACAACTCTAACAATAAACAACAATTGGTAAGTCTAACCTCATTATAGCTCTTCCAAAGTTGAGATTCGAAAAACTCAACTGTTCGTTTTCAAAATCTGCAAAGGTTCGTTGTTCGTTGGAACCCAAACTAATCACAATAGCTTTTGATTTGTTGGTTTCAAACTTTCGGTTTTTCTTCTCTCTCTGTAGAAATTGCTCCGCCGCATTTACGTTTCGCCGCCTGATTTTTCTTTCGGTGTCGTCGGAATCAGAGCTCGACGAGCTCTCTTTCTCTCTCTTTGATCGCTCTCCGATGATACCCCATAAACACACACACACTCTCTCTCTTTCTCTCTCCTCTTTCTCTCTCTACTTCTGCTTTCCGAATCCCGACTCTTTTTTCGTTTTTGTGTCTGCGTAACGAGGGCGATTTATGTTGCTAATTGCCCCTTCTTCTATACATATATATACACACCACCTCCCTAATCTTTAATACCAAAGGCTGCCTATTCACATGTGAATTTGCTAAATTTTATGTGAATACGAGTAAATTCATCAATGATTAGAACTTCATCGATATCTATTCTCGTCCTCGAAAAATTAGGGATTAACTTCAAGATCTAAAGCTTTAACGAATCTGTTCAGATGGTTAAAACATGTTTATCAGAAAATCACACAATTCAGATATTATATATTAAAGTATCGAATATCTGGCTTTTCAAATCAGTTCATTTAATTTTCCTTGCAAATTTAATCATATGTTGGTGGATTACGTATTAAATACAATGGATTAAAAAATTAAACATTCTTAAATTGCCAAAAATGCCCCTGAGATTTTCATAAATGTTACGTATAAAGTTGTCTGGCAGCATTGACCGATGAACGGTTTGAATACGTCATCTTGTGTTTTTTATATCGCATTAAATACTGCAACATAGATTTTGATTGGATAAGCAGTGCAACGAACTTTTTCATTAATACTGTATCTTCTTAATTATAAAAAAGATCTCGAGTAGACATGATTAGATCAAGACAAACGATGACGTAAATTTCCAAATCACAGATTGAAAAGTAAATACCCATTATGAGATACCGACGACTGGCAACGGTCAATAGCGAACCTGTGTTTTCAAAACAATTACATTTCGACCCTGTGCATTATAATTTTATTCCAAAAACATCCCTGGTGTATTGGATGACATTGTTAAGATCTTATTGAGCTCTTTGATCGCAAGATAAATCAGCTTAAAGGGGTATTATAGTCATTTTCTTCTAAACCAAGTAAAAACGATAAGATTGTAAAATTCTTAGTGTAAGATGCTAAGTCGTTATTTTTGTTACACGTTAAATTGTTACTTCAACATCATCTCTTATCGATCAGAATTTAAATAAAACTCAATAAACAACACCCTTATAGTTAGTTCGTAGCTCTAGATATAAATATCAGTTATGGGTTGTTTGTTTACCTCTTAATAGTTTCATTAAGAGACAGTCTCTGAATCGGTAAGAGGTGAATCTTGTTTAACAAAAAAAAAAGTTTTTCTTTTAATGGTTCTAAAACCCTCTGAATAGTTTTGTATCATGGGTCCTCCTATAACAATTCAACGCCCTAATTTCATTGTAAACAATTATATTCCGTTTTGCATTATATCATGATAGCTTATTGATCATTTTAACCATTTAATCATTCTGTACCAAACCATTCAGCAATTGCCAAAGTATATAATATATAGGAGTCAACACTATAATCTATTTTACCATGTAAGATTGTAGTATATTAAAACATTATCGTGTGTAACAATTACCCGGTAAACGCTTACCAGGGTAAGAATCATCACTCTCACTTACCGGACAAGACTTTCTATCCCTATCATTGCTCTTACCAGGTAAGATTTTCAGCCCTTGTCATGTTCATCGGGTGAGGAAATTACGCGATAAACACTTACCGGATAAGTGTTTAGTAAACGCCCCCTAAACCTACACAATCATGTATATTTGGTAAAAAAAAAAAATGGCACAGACTGTGCTGAAATAAGCATCTGGTGTTGCATAATGCACAACTTCGTAAACGAGGACAGCGTTATTACAGCTCGTTTAACATACTTTTTGGTCGATGCCACCTTTCTTTTATCCACCATAGAGAAAACTTTTGGAATATAAATTTCATTTGTTTTTCTATCAACTAAGATTTTCCTGTATTTGTTCGACCTTCTTTTTTATCGCAGTTTCTGCATTTTGGTCGAAACTTTGTATACAATTGGAGTTAGAACATTGAGGAGGTGTTTGGTTAGAGGTATTAAGAAGTAATCAATGAAAATGAAAATAAAAGAAACTGTTTGGTTTTATATAATATAATAGATTCATTCCTCCAGAAGCCCAAAATTTCTGGAGGGAAATGAAAATTCATTCTCATTTTCATTCTCTGTCATTTTTTCATTTTCATTCCCATTTTAATTCATCGGCGTTAGCCAAACAGACCCTGAAATTTATTGAAGATTAAGCATGGGTTTATGATCTACAGTGTCGTATTGTCGTTGTCTTTTTTATCTTTTGTTTTGAGTCTATATCTTTATGTAGGTTACTGTTTGGTTTTTAACCTTCTGTTATTGGTGGATACAATTGTTATGGTTCGTCATCGATAAAAGTTGGGATATTGACGTACATCAGTTATTCGAGACTGTTTATCCGACTCAGTTTCAGTTTCGAAATTGAAATGTTAGTTAACGATTATATATACCATTAAAATAGAAAAAAAAGGTGCTTGGCTAGGGCTACGGATAGTCATAGTGAGACCCGTCTTGATTAGTTTCCTCTTGCGACTCATCGATCCCTTACCCGAATTACAAACCGCCGGTCACTGCCGTCCGAGTTCCGACGATTGACTGCTGCTGCTGTAAGTGATGTTGTTGTTAGAAACTGCCCATTGGAACTTTTGCATGATTGCAAATGCTTTGGTGTTCAGATGCATTGGCCTTGGTAGGTTTAGGACAAGGCCTTCGCTGACTTTATACACTTTGATTAATATACTACCAAAGGGGGCAAGCAATCTCACTCCCAATTCGGGTTGTTCTTAATTTCTGTTGATTTTGCCGTTTTGATCTTCGTTTTTGGTTTGAATTCTTATGAGTTTTCGTGTTCTGGAATTCAATTTGAAAAAGATTTGTGATCATAGACATCACCCGAAACAGGCCCGAACCCGATTAGCCCTGTACCCCGAACAGTGTACTTCGGGTTATGGCTTTGTACCCCGAAACCCGATCAGGTTAGCCATTTTTTGGTCCGACCCGACCCGACCCGACCCGACCGATGCACAACCCTATATATAGATTTCTCATAATTTATTTTCGTCATTTATTTTAGTTCCTCGTAGTCTTTAGTTTATGATTATTTTAATTTTTAGTTGTCGTAAAATTTTCTTTTTATGCAAATTTCTTTTCTCGTTTTTAAAATAGATATGCAAGAATCCCGAACGATGATAAAACTGACAACCTTAGCTTGGGTGTAGGGTAACGTTAAGATAAAAGATCGACTTTAATATAGAAATTTGTTAAATATTAACAAAACTTTCCAACCATTTATTCAAGGTTATACTGATAAAAATTATATATCTTTTGACAAGTTGATTTTTGCAGAAAAATGTTAATAATTTGATGGATTTAAAGATAAGTCATCTCGAACACATCAACATGAATAATATGAAAGTATATTCGAGAGAGCTACTTAGAACCAAGGAGACTTGTTTTCATTCCGACATCTTATACAATGATAGATTGTGTCATACTGTCTTAGAATTGGTCATTGGATAAGTGTCATTCTCAACCTCGAGAGAGTATCTTACACAAGCTGGTGGTTGGTTAAAAATAAGTTATTATCTATACAGTTTTATCTGATTTATTTGTCTAAAAACATCTGAACTGATCCCTACACCCTTGCTTTCTTTTAAATTAATTATTTGCATCATTTAGTCTTAAAGTTACCAAACCAAAAACAATTCTTCGAACTTGCCATCTGAAATCTAATCTTTTTCTGGACTTTAACTAAAACCTTTCACATATTTTCCCTTGTGGATTGATATTGGGGTACCTTACCGTTTTTATTATTTGTAAGAGACGACGTTGAGTTGATACATGTATGCTTGCATGGGTCTCTATTTGCACACAGTCTGAGAGATTTTATCTTCGTATAAATCTCGCAACAGTATCCAACTCAATATTAATCGATATTTAACTCAATTTCATCTCATCACTTGCCACATCAACATGGTAAATGATGAACTATTTTTTTTTTTTGAATTAGAAACCATTAATCTTTCTTATTTTTAATGATTAAGTCTCTGAATATATTTTTTTTGAATAAAAAATCATCGAACTTTTAAAAATTGGTCACATCCGTCATTTTACTCCAGAAAAAGTTAAATGTAACTGACTAGCAATATTTTAGAGTAAAAAAACATAAATCGATTCTACTATTCCCAAACCCTTTGCACACAACGACATCACCCTCTTGTCACTCCTTGTCGCTCCATCGCTATCTCTTCTCTCTATCGTCCATTGTCGTTGTTGGCCCCTTCCATCAGTCTCCATATTTCAGATCTGTTTTTTTCTCTCTATTCTCCATCTCTTACATCAACTTAATGAAACGCATATATATATATATAGGGTATATTTCTTTTACAACCTTATGCATTTGTACAACCTTTGCAACCCAATTAATTGAGATATTTATAGAAATGATTGGAGTTTATTTATTATGATTTGAATATTTATGGAATATGAATAGAGTTTATTAATTATGATTAATACTTTATATTAGGAAACAATTAATTTACTAAAAATTGAATGGTTGAGATGAGGGTTGTATAGGGTGTAGGAATGACAAAGGGTGTAGAATAACATCCCTCTCTCTCTATATATATATATAAAAGATGGAGAATAAAAAAAACAATTAAAAAGAGTAAGAGCGAAGGCAGGGGCCAACAACGGTGATGAACGATGATAGAGAGCAAACGACGATGAGGTAATGAAGGGTTTGAATGATGTATGGTTGGAAATAGCGAAACCGAGTTAAGTATTTTTTTTTTTTTACTTTAAAACATTTCTGGTCAATTTCAAACAACTTTTTAGGTTAAAAGAATGTAGATAACCAATTTCTAGAAGTTCGATAATGTATTTATTAAAATAAAGTTCAGGGTCTTTATTATTTAAAATGAGGAAAAACTTTTAAAAACTAAACCCATTCAAAATAAGAAAGTTTAATAGTTATGTACTTAAAAAAAATGTTTTAATAACTAAACTATACAAAATAAGAAAGTTTACATTAAAAAAAGTTTAAATGAAATAATTTGATCTATGGACAACATCATTGTGGTAAATGTCGTAATGCATTCTCTGTAGGCATGGCAACGGGGCAAGGATGGGGTGGGTTTTGGCCCCGGTTTGTAGTAACGTCCCCCGGCCCTGTTCTCCGGCGAGTACGGGGATTATTATCCCGTTCCCGGTCAAATCTCTAACAATTCCCGATCACGGTAAAACCCCGGTTAATCCCGTAAACAATATCATTTATTTTCATTCTACTGGGGATCCCCGTTCCCGATTTGAGTAACATCCTCCGTCCCCGGTTTGTGTCTATTGGGGATCCCCGACCCCGGTACCCGTTTTAGCGGGGAATCCCAGTCCCCGTTCGGGTCGGGTGAACCGGGTTCCCCACCGGGTCGGGACAAATCACCCTCCCTAATTCTCTGGTCCAATTTCCGTTTTTGTTTTTGTATTCCTGATTTATCCTACCCGATGAAATAGACATGTCTGTGAAGATGCGGATTAACTGCACCTGGACAAAGAAGAATAAATGAAGGAATTTTGGACTGGGTCGGGGAATCTAATCTTGGATAAAATTCTTTTGTTTTTTCCAATTTGTTGGAGGCACTTATATCTTATTCTCATCTTATATGGTAAGAGATAAACCAACCTCTTATTTGCCTCTTATTATTCTCCAAACTGTTAGCAATGACGTTTCTCAATCGATTAGTCTTAATCGATCGTTTTTCTCAAACGATCCTTACCCAATCGATTCCCACATGTCTCAGTTGATGTATTTTAATAAGATTTAAATGTGTAAAATACCTTTAATGATATATTTTTGTTTAAAGGAATGCTAGTTATACAATTTAGATGTAAAATTTGTAATGATGATGAATAAATATGTGAAATATATACATTTATCTATAATTCAACACTATAATTTTCTAATGGGTAAAATATACAATTTAAATAAATTCAGACATTTATCAATTATAAAAACACCACCACCTCTTATCTATAATATATTATAAAGCATTTGACAAAAACTCTTAAAAACCATTTTTCATGCATGAAATACTGTTTATTGATGTATATTATTTAAAATTCAAGATTACAAGTAACTTTGTATAAATACAACTTATTAAAACTTCAACTTTAAATTCGTATAACTAACTGTAGATAAACATCCATTTTAAAATAGAAAATCAAAAAATATAATTAAAATAATCATTGAGTTCTAATAAAATATTTAATTATTATATTTATAAAAAATAAATTATTAAACTAAAAATAAATTACTTTATTATTAAATTTAAATTAAATTATAATAAAAATTTGAATTAAAAAAGTTACAAAAAAAAAACTATTAAATAGTTAATTTGATACTAATATCGATTTATTATTTTTTTTCAAAATTTGATGCTATCTTCAAATTTCTATTTCATTCAAAAATAAAAACATTACTGTTTTCTCAAAACCACATAAAATCGTATTATATCGATAAAGACAAAGAATAAAAACTAAATATTAAAACTGAAATTTATCTTATCATATTATGCAAGTATCATTTTAATTAATAAAAATAAAATAAAACTTAAAACTTCAATACTTCTTAAAAAAAACAAACAAAACCTAAACTTTTTCATTATTTATTGGATTTTTTTTATAAACTTTTGCTTTTAATTTCCTTTTTTGAAGATTCGAGATGCTACGATGGTTCTTGTGTTACCTTTTATAAACACGCACCAGCGCACCCATAATATATATATATATATATATATATAGGGTATATTTCTTTTACAACCTTGTGCATTTATACAACCTTTACAATCCAATTAATTGAGATATTTATAGAAATGATTGGAGTTCATTTATTATGATTTGAATATTTATGGAATATGAATAGAGTTTATTGATTATGATTAATACTTTATATTAGGAAACAATTAATTGATTAAAAATTGAATGGTTGATATGAGGGTTGTATAGGATGTAGGAATGGCAAAGGGTGTAGAATAACATCCATATATATATATATATATATATAGAGAGAGAGAGAGAGAGAGAGAGGAGTGATCATATGAAAACCGCCTTCATTTGTGTAAACCGTACAAACCACCTAAATATATGATGAAGTTGTTTCATATATGGTTGTGAAATTGTTTCATATAATACTTAATGAAACTGTTTCATGTATTTCTCTAAAATTAAAATTATGAAGATGATAATATCTATGATTAACACCCTCCACAATAAAAATGATTAATCAACCTCTCATTATTACAAAATAATGAACAAAATGAAAAATTATGATTGGTTGAATACGGTTCGCACGGTTTGTACAAATTGAGTGGTTTGCATTTCATCGCTCCCCTGTCTATATATATATATATATAGAGGAGTGATCATATGAAAACTGCCCTCATTTGTGTAAACCGTGCAAACCACCTTCATTTGTCGATTTCATTGTTTAATCTTATGAAATTTTTTCATGAAATTGTTTAATCTTGTGAAATTGTTTCATATAATACTTTTTTTGATGAAGTTGTTT